AAGTTACTTCCTTGCTACTTCATGACTGTAATTTTGCTATTGTTATGAATTGTAATGTCAATATCTGATATGTGATTGCCCAAAGGGGTCGCAACCCACAGGTTGAGAACCACTGCTCTTGGGTGGAATGTTTAAGTTCAGAAGAACAGATAGACAACACTTTAGATAGAAAGGTATATATGTATGTAAAACAGGTGCATAAATCAAACATTTATTGATATAAAATTGTAAAGAAATTGACTTTAAAATAATTCATATATACCTATAAAACCTTACAATTTACTAAAGACAAAACCAAATTTACATACCAATGAGACGGTTATGCCTGTTTGCTGAAACCAATCCAGTTAAAAAGTTACTACTTACATTAATGCTTGCATGGTGAGGAATGATGGAAGGAAAGCATAGGAAGTCTTGTTTTCTGTAATTAAATCATTACATGTCTGTAAGAGCAGAGAACATTACATGTACAGTAAAAAACACTACGATTCATAACATACAATAGTCTCAAATCTAGCCAAGGTGTTTGAGGCAGCATCTGTTGCATGCGTGGTATGTGTGACAGCATACACAGTGCATGCTGTCTATCAGCCAAAGCATTGAAGCCTCATGATTGCAACATGGGTGAACACTGTCAGAAGCATGTTGAATTTCTAGAACATTTGATTTTTTTTTTTTCAAACAGAGTGTCATATAGCCTGGGCTTCCTTAAATCTTCCTATGTAGCCAAGGATAACCTTGAACTTCTGAACCTCTTGCCTCTATCTCCCAGAGTTGGGATTATAAACATGCACCACCATGCCTGGTTTATGCAGTGCCCTGGAACTCACCATACAGACCAGGCTGGGCTTGAACTCACAGAGATCCACCTGCCCCTGTCTCCTGAGTGCCGGGGTTAAAGGTGTGTGCCACCACACTTGGCTAAGATTTACCTACTTTGATTTTATGTGTATTTGCCTGCATGTATGTATGTGCAGCACATGTATGCAGTGCACATGGAGGCCATAAGAAGGGATTGAAGCCTCTGGAACTGGAGGTACAGATGTGTGTGAGCTAACATGTAGGTGCTGAGAACTGAACCTGGGTCCTCTGCAAGAGCAGCAAGTGCTATTAACATTGAACTATTTCTCCAGCTCGGATTTGAAAGTAATTTGTGATTGTTCCATATTCAGAAATGTTTTAGTCTTGCCAAGTTTTCTATAGCCCCCACATTGAATTCTGCTCCCTAGTGGGATTATGTCCCACAATTTAAGAAATTTGTGGCCTAAAGAGCAACAGGACAGCTGTCATCTAGCCAGGTCTATAAAGGCTTTCCTTACTCCATGTCTCTTGACAGCCCTCTGGGTGGGTATGTTTGATGGTTAATGTCTTAGGGTTTCTATTGCTGTGAAGAGACACCATGACCACAGCAACTCTTATAAAGGAAAACATTTAATTGAGGTGGGGCTTACAGTTCAGAGGTTCAGTCCATTATCACCATGGCAGGGTGCATGGCAGTGTGCAGGCAGACATGGTGCTGCTACATCTTCATCAGAAGGCAACAGAAAGTGGACTGTGACATCGAGAGTAGCTTGAGGCCAGGAGACCTCAAATCCCACCCCCACAGTGACACACTTCCTCCAACAAGGCCAAACCTACTCCAACAAGGTCACACCTCCAAATAGTGTCACTCCTTATAAGCTTCTGGGGATCAATTGCATTCAGACTACACAGTTAATATTGACCTTCAACAGGATGTATAATCATATACAAAATTAAAAATATAATAACTCTTTAAAGAAATCTGTTTATGCCCTGACACATATGTGGAAACCAGAGAACAACTTTGGGGGTCGGTCCTTGCCTTTCACCTTGTTTGACACAGTCTCATTGTTGCTCTCCACTGGCCCATTAGCTTCCAGGAAGTCTCTGCCTCTACCATCTCACTATAGGAATGCTGGGATTACAGACAGGTGTGCTACAGTGTCAGTTTTACATGGGTGCTGGGGATTTAACTCAGGTCCTCATGATTGCAAGGCAAGCACTTTACCCACTGAGCCATCTGATTAGGCCCTGGAGATTGTTTGTAAATGGAACACCTTCTCTGCATAATGGTGGTGCTATTTGCAGTGTGACTGCCTTAGTGCTCTTAAGTTTCATTGGCATTTATCATTAACATTTTCTCTATCAGTGACGTAAGTCTCTCCAGCCCACAAAGCACTAAGCCACAGCTTGATTCATGATATCTGCCAACATCTGCAAAGCATGTGCTCCTGTTGGGACTGCTGCCAGAGCTGTTTGTGTCAGAGTGTGGGCCTCTGGACTGCCCGAACAGCCAGCCTCTGCCACTGTCCTCCACAGACCAACTACACAAGTCATAGGGAAAATACAAAAGAAGGGATTTATTCAGTGTGTTGTTATGCTTCGGGAAAGGAACAAACAGATCAATCCCACGGCCCCCAAGTTCATCTTCTAGGTACTGACAGCAGGTTTAGATTTAAATAGAGGGCAAGAGGTACACAGAGCCACGCAGTGTTGTCAAGGTGTCTTGTCTCACCAATCATCACCATCTCGGCTCCAGCCTCCCCTACAGGGTGGTCTGACAAGCTGTCAGAAGTGTGAAGTCCGTTTCCTGGAGACAAGCTGCTTCTCTGACTGACACCAGGCTTCAACCTCATCCTTTGAAATATTTCAATTTCAGAACCCACTTGAACACCCAGGAAAGACTATTATGATATAACAAAAGCTTCTTAAATTATGCTCTCTCCAACACAACCAGACCCTACTTTCAAATAATAGGTGTTCCCCCAAACAACCCATATAGCCAATCTAAACTTCCTTGGCTCCTCTCATGAACTCCCAAACAGACTCCAGATAAGTTCTCCAGCCAACCAATAACCTAAGGTTCCTACCTATTGCCTATTTTTTTTCAGTGTGATCACTTCCCCTTCCCTAGGATCTCTCCCCTTTTCTCTGGTCTCTTCCCAACTATCAGGGCCATGAACTTAACAGTTTCAAATGTACATCCAAGATAATTTTTTTTTTCAAAACTCCTTAACTTTACCTCTGTCCTCAGTCTATCTTTCCTGACAGGATTTCAAATCAACTACAGACTGCAGCCTCTCAGACTACACTTCCCTAGCTTCATAGAGTTCTGCAAAACCTGGACGTCAACTGACACAGCCTTCTGTTCCTGACTTTGACCAGCAACCCAGATTTCCTGGGTCCCTTAACAACACCACAATGTCAGCGGCCAGGTGGTGGTGGCACATGCCTTTAATCCCAGCACTTGAGAGGCAGAGGCAGGTGGATCTCTGTGAGTTTGAGGCCAGCCTGGTCTAAAGCAAGTTCCAGGACTTCAAAGCTACACAGAAAAACCCTGCCTCGGAAAACAAACAAACAAAAAGGAAGCAGTCAGAAAGAAGCCCACTTACTCAACACCCAACAAACAAATAATAAAACAAAAAACAAAAAGGTGGGAATGAAAGGGACTCTAGCCAGCCCAAGCATGGCAAACATGGCTCTGGCAGGCCTTGCCCTTTTCCCACATCCCCACTGCCTTGCTAAAAACCATTAGATTGCATTTCTGAAGCTAGCCACCAAGGTCTATTCCCTTATTTGGCCATTTCCTCCTCCTGAGGCTGACTACCAAGGTCCATCTATCAAAGTATTGAAGCCCATCAATCAAAAGCCCCCTTTGGCTGCTCTAATTAACATGCCCAATTACAATCAAACACCCCACCCTAACACAGGCTTTCCCCTTTTACCTTTATAAATTACCATTTGCCTATGGGCCACATCTGTCTCTTCTCTATCCAGGGGCAGTTCTCTGCCACTCCATGACAAATACCCCTTCCCCCTCTTCCTTGTTCCCTTCCTCTTCCCCCTTGCCTTCAGTTCTCCTGTATTTGTCTCTTATTCCCTGCCCTCTGTCCCTCTGTCCTTCTGAGGCAAATACATTTCCTTGTGCTGAGAACTTGGTCTTGGGGTGTCTTGTGCTGAATTCTTGTCCCTTTGTCCTTCTCTTAGGATAAGATTCCTGGGGAATTCCAACTTTTTAGGTCCATTGTTTCAGTGATCTGATAGCCAAAGAGAGGGTTTTGGGTGACAATATCCCTAGGGGGACAGGAGCAAGTGTCTACTTCACATTCAGGAACCAACAACAAGCTAATGTTAAGATACCATCAAAGACCAGTTTGAAGAACGACCAGTTTTATTGGGGTACTTACAAAATATAGGTGAAGGATTACTTCCCGAGTGCATTCTGCCAGGTGACAGGGGCAGGCCAGCATAATACCTGAATCCTTACATTCCTTCCTTTACTTATTATTAAAAAGGTAAGGAGTTAGGCATGGCAGGTTAGGGAATAAGGACATTGAGTTCTCAAGACTATTTCCTGCTGATCTGGGGAGGGTGTTGACCATCTTTGGGAACATGGCACCTGGGGTAGCTGGTTGTTTCATTGAAGTCCTGGCTATATGAATCTCTCTGTCACCTCTTAGACCTGGCAAGATGTTGGCAGAGCAGAGTACAAAGTTAAGTTTGGGAAAAAAATTGTCTTAGGTCCTGGTACTTGAGGTGAAGAGGATCATAAGATGACGGAGGGGTTCCCAAGGGGTCCCAAGATGAGGGAAGGCAGTCCCGGGACCAGGGAAAGGTTGACTAATATTTGGAGCAAATCTGACCTGTTTGGGTGGGTTCAATTCAGCTCCCTGGAACTAACAAGAATTCTTTGAGTTTGTGAAGACATGAACCCTAAAATACCTGTTCCTGAAATCTGTTTTGTGACAATTAGAGCCTTGGCTATTGCTTTAAGCTGGCAAAGCTACCAGTTGTCAAAAGCATCAGAGTTTTCTTTTCTTTCTCTTTTTTTGAGACAGGGTTTCTCTGTGTAGCTTTGGAGCCTATCCTGGCACTCACTCTGGAGACCAGGCTGGCCTCGAACTCACAGAAATCTGCCTGCCTCTGTCTCCCGAGTGCTGGGATTAAAGGCATGCACCACCAATGCCCCACGTGTGCATCAGAGTTCTTGAGAAGGATAAAATTTTACCTGAGTTAATGATTAAAGAGTAACAGAGACTTACTAGCTGGCTGCATGGACAGCCACCCCCAGGTCCTCTACAGTGTTGAGGTCATAGGCTTTAAGGACACCTGCCTTCTGCTGACAGCGTGAGACCTGTGGATTAGGTTCTTTAGGAAGACTCGCCTACTGTTGGCCCAAGCATTGCGGAGAAAGTCGATTCCAGTGTCCTCTTATCCACAGTCCGAAGAGTCCTTTGCAACAATTGAGGTGAAAAGCAGGATTGTTTAGTGACTAGCATTACCACTTTTGTGGGTGGAGTTTCTTCAGTGTCCAGTCTTCTTTGGAGGAAATGGGCCAATGCCAGCTGCTGGCCTGTCTCTCTGTTATAGAAAGCCTTTTAATAAAACATTTTAAATGCCATATTCTTTAGATCTCTGAGCATTTGAGGGCTGTCTGTCTGTTTAGTATATTTCAGCAGACAAAATTTATCTTTTTAAGTTACTTGCCTTAAGCACATTGGTGGCTAGGTAAGGCTTTATCCCTGTAATTAATTAATCTGTACTTAGTATGGCTATAATGGCATTAGTGCAGGATCTATCTGGAGAACTGGATTGAAGCTGAGAGGCTGTGGAGGGATGTTTTACTCAAGAGTCCTCCAGCCTGACTGTAACTGGTTTTAACTTAGTAGGTTAGATTTATGCCTGTAAAGGACAAAGAAGCAGAGAAAAATCCCCTTTTGTAATAGAAGCTTAGCCTTTGTAAACAGCTTACAGGAAGGACTGGGTGGCATAAATAATTTGTTAATTTGAAATAGATCTTTATAACCTTAAATTTTTATCATCAATTGAAAGTACATATCAATTTAAAATAAAATTTTATCATCAATTTAAGATAAATGACAGTTTAGAAATATTTGAGACATAGCACAGTTAAATTTAAGTTGCATATAGAGTTAGGTTACATTTTTAAACAGTAGCTACATGTACACATACACACAGATGTATTAAACAGGACTGGGTAAAAGTAAGAAGAACCAGAGTGTGATCTCTGATTTGCACATGGTAGCAAACAGACAGGAGATTTAAAGAGACAGAGTAGACTTAAAACTGCCAGTGACAAGAAATCAGATCCACTGCAGAGGGAACAGGCAAGGTTTTTGTGTGAAATGTGTCCCCTACTGGGCCCTGGAAAGGCACGCCATTACACAAACAAGCCATGCATAACAGAGCCAATGAAAGAAGAAATTAGAGACCAAAAAAAAAAAAAAAAAAAAAAAAGGCAAAAGGTAAATGAATTATGTCTGTCAGCAGGGTTTGCCAGCAGAAGCTGGCTAGACTGTCCCTCTGCCTAGACTGAGGGAAAGGAGTAACCCATAGAGGGGGCAGGCTTAAAGTGGCTGCTTCCATAAACACGTTGCTATCTGACTGAAGTTTAAAAAAAAACTCTCAGAGCATACTGAGCAGATGCTGCCTCAGGCAGCCCACTGTGAGCTGCTGGCATCTGCATAGAGAAGAGTGGAGACATTTGGAACAGGAGCATAAGAGGTCTAGTGAAACAGGACATTCCCAGGTGGAAGGAGGTTCCCGCCCTGAGACAGGCTTAGCTATGATGGGAAGCGATGCCACTGTGGCAGGCGGGAGAGTTTTAGCATGTCGGGAAGAGGAGGGAAACAGACAAGTGAAAAAGAGTAGAGGCCACACTTCCAACTATGGATCACTTGTAGAATGTTGGATGCCAATAAGTAGGCACATGGTTTGACATGGAGGGGGGGGCAGCTTCCATAAGAGATCCAAAGCCTATAATCTCCATCATCCCAGAGACTAAGGGAGGATCAGACACTAGAGGCACAGGCTGATTTTGTGGTTCATTGAGCACAAATCAGGGGGCAGGGCTCCTGGAGCCCTAGAGACACGTAGTCGCCCAGTACTGGGATTTTGAACTGGCCAAAAAGGTGAGAGATTGTCACAGTCCTGATACGAGTCCTAACTCATGGAAGCATGGGTAGAGGTAGAGAGGAAGGGGCAGGCTTACCAGACATGGCAGTGGTGGATGGAAGAATCCAGAGGTCCTTAGTTGGAAAGATGACTGATTTGAAGGTTACAGGGTCCCGGTATATCTCAGACTGCCACAGGCAGGAACAAATGCCAGGAAAACCTGCCAAGTCACATGCACCAATGTTGTTCTTTTGCTCAAGTTAGGATAAAGCTGGAAGGGGGTTCCTGCATGGGAGACCATGGCAGATTCCACGACAGGTGAGGGTGACCGAGGCAGGGAACAAACACACCAGGCAGATAGAGTCTGAGTGAGAAGTTTTATTAGAAAGGGGAGGGAGGGGGAAGGAAAGAGAAAAGAGGTAAAGAGACACAGAGAGAGGACAGAAGAGATGAGGGAGACAGGAAAAGTCCTGTCTGCCTCAGGGGAACATCGGGAAAACAGCTGGAAAAGAGCAGAAAGAGAGGAGAGGTGGAAAGAGCAGAAAGAGAGCAAGAGAATGTAAGTGAGCAGGGTCTGTCTTTTAAAGGGGTCCTTTGCACTTGCATGCAGACTAGCACTCATGGAACCCTGGGCTGACCAGGGTACTGCCTGAGTGCATTCTGCCAGGTGACAGGGGCAGGCCAGCATAATGCCTAAATCCTTACACCAACCATAAAGTTATTTTTGTGGCTACCTCATTAATGTAATTTTGCTACTGTTATGAATCATAATGTAAATCTGATATGCAGGATATCTGATATGTGACTCCACCCCCCAAAGGGATCACTGCTTTAGAAGGTCGTTATACATGCCAGGAGGTTTATAGGACCAGTTACTGGTAAGACACCAGGCCTAGCAGATGGTAAGCCTGTGGTAACCCTTCCTATCAGTGTTGAACAATGGTCATTTAGTTATATTCACAGGATATAACATGCAGATTGTAGCCAGTTTGTAAAACAAAGGTACTCATTTGATAGGGTTTGGGAGGGATGGGGGTGTTGTGAGAGCAGTAGCCACCAGATATTCAAGAATTGATGGGAGAAGCAGTCTTCAGAGCACTGAGCCAACATTACCAAGGAAAGCAGCCCTGCCCCCACACAACAGCAAAGGACAGTGGGTACTTATCTCGGAGGAGTATTGGTACTGGCTTGTGGAGATGGGGGATGTCTGCTCACCTCTGTCTGTGCCTGTGGCCCCAGAATCCCTGCTTTGTTTGATTGGCTCCATCTGCCCTGGTGGCTGTCATGTTGTCATGATGCTGTCTGCTCTAGTGATTGCTGTCTTGTCTCCGAGGCCATCTGCCCTGGTAGCTGTGTTGTCACAATGGCCCTGTCTGCCCTGTCTGGTGACTTCTGTCTTGTGATGATGGATCTGTTTTGTTTTGGTAGCTATGATTCCCTCTTGGTGTCTTCTCTACCCCTCTCATTAACCTTCCATGGCAAATGTTACAAAACAGCTTTTCTTTATTAAAATCCATCTATCCCAATGCTTTTAGGCAGTGTTAGAAATAAATAGTGGTTTAAAGAATAAACCAGAGACTACAAACAAAATAGAAAATATCTCCCAGTGAAACTTCGCCTAAAAGATGCCACTTTCTAGTCTTCTGTATCACAGTGGATCAAAGCCAACAAGGACTCAGGGACCTGTGTAATGGCATCTAGCCTTGCCAGTGAACTTGTAGTAGTGACCATACCCTTTGGGCGTGGTTTCAGGTGTAGACTTGACCCCTTAAGAAAGAGGAGGAGCTAGCATCTCAGAGAGCATCAGAAGAGCAGAGACTGCGTCTTCTAGAGCAGGAAGGCTGCGGCAGTTATTTACTCCTATCTATGTAAGTTCTTCCCTAATAAAACACCTATTTATCATTTATCTTGGGTCTGGTGAACTCATTTAAACCCCACCTTCAAACCTGCATCAGGGAAGATATATATATATATATATATATATGGCACTCCCAGAAATCAACCAAGAATAGATTGGAAACAAAGAAACAGCCAAGGCAAGGTGGTATATGCCTCAGAGCTCAACATTTGGGAGGCAAGAGGCAGGCCAGTCATCTTTGTGAGCTCCAGCTTAGCCTGGTCTACATGGTGAGACCCTGTGTGTTGTTTTAAATGAGAATGGCCCCCATAGGCTCCTGTATTTTCATATTTGGTCCCCGGTTGTTGGAACTGTTTGGGAATGGTTGAGAAGTGTGACCTTTTTGGATGAGGTCGGCACTGTGATTGGGCTGTGAAGTTTCAAAAACTCACACCATTCTCAGTTAGTTCTTTCTCTGCCTTGTGCTTGGATCAGATGTAAGCTCTCAGCTGCTGCTCCAGTGTCACACCTGCCTGCTGCCACGCTCCCCACCATGATGGTCATGGACTCTAACCCTCTGCAACTGTAAGCAAGGCCCCAGTTAAATGCTTTCGTTTATAAGGTGCATTGGTCATGGTCACAACAATAGAAAAGCAATAAAGACACCCTTGTCCCAATAAGTAAATAGTTAAATGGATAAATAAAATAAGATAAAAGCAAAGAAACAAACAAAACTCTGATATTGGGATGTAGATGGATAAAAATAATTTCACCTCTGAGCACGTCTTCCAGCTAGGGAAGAAAACTTTGCATAATTTAGCTAGAGCAGGTCTGAAGGTATGCTGCTGATGGCGTTTTTCTATAGTCCCCAGGTGGACATTTCTCGTGATGGATATGGAGAAGGCCACACTGAGGGTATCTCATCTTTTCTCTCTCTGACCTATGAGCACTTGCCAGCTCCCTAGAATCCAGTGAGGGGCTCCTGGGGTAAAAACTGAGGAAGCTGTCCTTGTGACTGGAGGCCTCCTACATAGGACCAGTGAGTGACTCAGACCTGCTGGGTTACAGATATCCAGCAGACCAGTTAGGACATCAGAGGCACACAAGCTTGACTTCACCCTCTATTTGCAACACAATGGAAACATACTGTATTACAACACTGTCAGAAAACCCAGAATACCATTAATCAGCCAATCAAAATTTAGTATATGGCCATCTTGCTGAATCAGAACCTATACAGTTTTAGACAAATCATCTGTTCCATTAAAAATATTATTAACGTGTCTGTGTGTGATTATTATGTATTTAGGTGCACCGGCCATGACCCAGAAGGGGAGGTCAGAGGACAACTTTCAGGAGTCAGTTGTCTCCTTTGGCCTTAACTTTGGGGGTTTTGAGAACTGAAGTCAGGTTGCCAGGCTTGTGAGGTAAGTGCCTTTACTCACTGGCTACCTATTCCACAATTATTTATTCTATTTTATTTTCTGAGACAGGGTTTCTCTGTGTAGCTTTAGAGCCTGTCCTAGAACTCTGTAGACCAGGCTGGTCTCGAACTCACAGAGACCTGCCTGCCTCTGCCTCTTGAGTGCTAGGATTAAAGCCATGCACCACTACTGCCCGGTGTCCTATTCCACTTTTAAGATGAGAGATAGATAAAACAGAAAATGAAATTGAAAAACCAAATCATGTTGCCCTTCCCAACAGCCCCTGTGGGCCAAATGTAACCCACCTGGTCTAATCCTGCTGGCTCTGTAAAGGGGAAGAGGGTGGGGGCAGAGGGGCAAGAGTCAAATGTGTTCTAACAGACTCACCCCTTCTCTGGACCAGCCCACTCAGGTTTTTGTCCTGCCCAGGGCAGGAGTGACACACCTTCCTTCAACCATGTGTCCATGTGGGCAGGTAGTTCTCTAGGTTGGCTCCTGACCTTGGCCTGCTCAGCCCAGAATTTTTACAGGAAGTCTTCTTGGCCAGTTCAAATGAAAACTCTCCACCATTGACATTTGGTCAGTGCTTCAGTCCCACCCTGGGCACAGCGGGCCACCCGTGTCACCCTCAGAGAGGAGGGATGGATACCCTGATCAACAGACATCCGACCACCGCGGGGCGGTCCTATCCCTCCAGACTCTTTGGTCATGCAGACTACGGCAAGCAAGTAGGTAGCAGAGCTGTGCCCATCCTTCAGTCATTCAGCCAATGAACCCCAGGCTCCAGGAAGAACCAGGTTTGAGGATGGTCAGCAAGATCGTAAACATTTATAGTTATTTTTCACTTCCTTGTTAAAAGTGCAAAACCCTATTCTTGGAACAACAAACCACAAGCGCTTCAAGTAGGATAGGTCCGTGTCCCCACTCACATCTGGGACCACCAACACCTTTGCGCGCCCGCGGAGTTGGGGAGGGAAAAAAACAGAATGGTGACAGCTGGGAGGAAGGCTGTCCTAAACTGGGGTTCAGCGAGCTGAAGAGTGTTTTATTTATTTATTTTTGCTGGCTGTTGGTTGGCCGTGGCGCAGGCGCACAAGGGAGCGGATCTGCCAGCCTGGCTAGGGGCGGCTGACTGTGCCTTTGTGTTGTTGCCTCACTGTGGAGGACAAGTGTTGTTGCCTATTGCTCCAGCCTCCAGAAAGATGGCAGGTTCACGGGCCTGGGCTTTAACCACTCGCAGCTGTAGCCTTGGCAGCAATTACCTGGGATTTCCTGTGCTGAGCGCTGGCAGTGTTTGCTACCGCTACAATGCTACAATCCTGACCAGGCTACCGGGACCTCAGCTGCCCGCATCTTCAAGTTAGCAGCTCAATCTACTTCACTCATAATGATAAAGATCAAACGTAATCAAGAGAGTCGGGGTTGGTGGTACACACCTGCAATCCCAGCATTTGGGCGATGGAGGCAAGGGGATGGAGAATTCAAGCGCCTCCCTCCTCTGAGCTATTTGAGCCTCTGTCTCAAAAATAAACAACAAGAAATCTAGACTACAGAAGGTCACGGGAAAGACAACATTGTTGGGTCTAATATTGAAGCCTAAGTGGATGGTTCTACAAAGTCCTGAAGAGCCAGAATAGTCTGCTGCTTATACAGCCAGTAAGGGAATGTGGCCAGGGTGTTGCCACCAACCCCCGAAACAATCCTTGGGGCCAAAGTGAGTATGTCTTGACATCAGTCAAAGGTCTCTGGGGGTGACTGTGAAGTGTTCACAGCAGCCGATCTGGTATAGGGACAGTCCTACAAGCTGCAGGCAAATGGAGCACTAGAAAAGGGATTGTTAATTAGGGAGTTAAGTCATGAGGGGGTGTGGGGGGGCAGAGTCTTAGCTTACTTAAAGGAAAAATAAACATTAAAAGGGTGGCTAGTGTAAATTAGCAGTGCTTTAACAGTATTTAATGC